TATTTTCGTGCGAAAATGCAATTAAAGAGTATAAATCAAATAAAAGACAGTCTTAAAACAAAATGTACCAATGGTCTAGTGGTAGAATAGTATCCTGCCACAGTACAGACCCCGGTTCGATTTTCAGATGGTGAATCTTTTTTTTACATAATTAAAATACCGACCAACTTTGGTCGGAAAAAACCGACCAACTTTGGTCGGTATTCCTTTTCGACCACAAAAATACTGTCCACACGTAAATGGTCGCGTTTTGGTCGGTTTTTGGCCATTACCGACCAACGTTGGTCGGTTTTTTTGATCGGTTTTTACCGGATTTCTAGTAGTGAAACTGAAGAAAAAAAAAAGAAAAAAAGAAAGCATATTGATGTAACATACAATTCGACAGAATTGCAATTACAGGAATTTAATGCATGCTTAAGAAGAATAAAAGATCAGAATAAGTAGCATTAAACGAATTCTCCTAAAATCAATAAATAAAAACATCATTTCTCTAAGATTAAGTTTTTAAATGAGCATTAAATATGGCACGAAGCTATAGGTCGAGGGTTTAATTTCGACATATATAATCCATCAAACAAAACATTTTCATGTGTTTTACCACGAATAGAAGGAATTGGGGCGAGGGAGCATGTTGTAGACGACTTACTAAATAATCCAAAACACACAATAAGCGTAGATGCGACAAAAAATTTGCTCATAAAATTAAAGTAACTAACATTTTTTCATTTACCCATCTTCGTGGATGTACAGGGTAAAATATGTTTATATTTAATGATCGCAAGAGAAGGCGACACGTGGGGCCGAAGACAGAAGACAGTCGAACCCGAAGGCAATGATCTCGCTTGTTATCGGAGAGAATGATACTCATAAAGGCAAAATAAATGTCTGTCATCCAATAGCATTCAATGAAGAATATTTTATAGCATTAAGTGCATGATCCGTTACACAGAATATGTCATTCACTGCATACCATTACACATTCTTCAATGACCCTCATAATTGTCATTTAAGAGGGGCTTGATCCTACGACCTTGTTCCCTATGTGTAACTATAAATAGTGAGCTCTATTATCATCGTAAGAGACACGAATTTTCTGACTAGCATATACTATATCCTATCAAAAGCTTAATAACATTCTACTTTCTTGCTTATTTATATTGTTCTTACTGTCTCCGGTAGCTCCGCACCCTGGACTAAGATATCTGTCATTTATTTCAATTTCAAGGCTAAGTCTTATATTTTTGTCTACTTCATCTATTATTTTTGGATCAAATCGATTTACTTGTTTATAAACCACGTATAAATTCAACCGTACCATTTTACGGGTAAATAGTTTGGCGCCCACCATAGGGCATAGACAGTCGTATAATTGAATTGATCGCTGCATCTGTTACTAACTTGTTTGATTCTTGTTCTTAGCAAAAATCATAAAAAAAAATGGCAGATAATGGTGTCAACAACACACACAACGTTGAGGCCCAAGGAAATCAGCCTCAGCATGAAGATTCCATCAGTGGTACCCACAACAAGGGAAACGAGGCCACGCCGATTCACGCCGTACAATATCCACGACATGTTCGAGAGGCAACTCCCGATGATGTCGAAGACGAGCACGTCGTCGAAACAGTAAAGATCTTGAAGGAGCAACAAGAGGCCATTATAGGTCATCTCTCGCGGCAGGATCAGGTCATGACAGAATTAAAGCAGACGTTGTCGGGTGCCTCCAACAATGCGAATGGATAATATGCAGTTCCTCCCGGTGTTCCCGCGAATCAAACAACGCAGAGGGTCGATAACAATACCCTAAGGGGCGAAGTCGGCTTCGACAGGGCCAGGGGGACGGTGGTGGATCCGGGAACAACGAGAATGATCCCTTTAAAACCGAACTCATGCGGTTTATGAGGGAGATAAATGTTCGAATGGATCAAATTCCGGGCGCACCACCAGTGCTGAAAGGGCCGGATTCAAAGAAGTACTCGCAATTGCCGTTCAAACCGAGCGCGACACCAGAGTTGATCCCAAAGTAGTTCAAAATACCGGATGTGCCGAAGTATGATGGGATTTTAGATCCCTAGGAACATATCACCACCTTTACAACAATGGTGAAGGGGAATGATTTAGCTCCCCATGAGAATGAGTCAGCTTTACTGATGAAATTAGGGGAGACCTTTATGAAGGGAGACCTGACATGGTATTCGCTTTTGCCTGAGCACTTCATAAACTCCTTTGAGATACTCGCATACTCTTTCATTAAGGCCCATGCCGAGGCCAGAAAGGTACAAGCCTGAAAGGCTGACATATTCAAGACTGCACAAGGAGAATCCGAGTTGATGCGGGAGTCTGTGATCAGATTCCAGAAGGAAAGGATGTTGCTACCAGCCATACCGGATGAATAGGCAACTGAAGCATTTACTAAAGGTCTGAATCCGAGGAGCTCCGATGCTTCCCAGAAATTGAAGAAAATTCTGCTCGAGTTCTATGCGACAGCATGGGTCCGATGTTCACAACCGTTACGAATCAAAGATAAGAATCGAGGATGATCAACTCAATTTCCCGTCATCATTCAAGGGTCGAGACCGGGAGAAGAATAAAGAGAAATCGAAAGATGATTTTGACACAAATCGACGGTCTTCAAGGGGTCAATTTCTGCCCTATGAACAGGCCAAAGGATGCGGCATAGGTTTCCAGTCAAGGATAGGTTCTCTACCGATAGAAGAATTGATCGCGGCTGAAATTACAGGTCGTTGCAGAATAAGGAAACATCAGGTTCTAAAGATTCTTCCTATGCAGGATTTTCGAATGCAACTTTAACATTAGCGCAATAGAGCTCGTATCAGCTATGAGGAACATTAAAGAAGCACGGTTCCCGAAGCCAATGAGATTCGATCCCATCCAAAGGGATCCTAATTTGTGATGCGAATACCACGGGACAAACGATCACCGGACTGGAGACTGCCGACATCTGCGCAAAGAGGTGACGACGTTGCTGAAAAATGACAATCTCAGGGAATTTTTAAGTGATTAGGCTAAAAACAACTATAGTCGCAATCGTGATAATGCAGAACCTTCAAAAGCAGGAGAAGATTCCCCGCGCCCGATGAACAACATGATTTTCGGGGAGAATGAGATTAACGGGGTTATATTCTCGGCAACAAAAAAGATGAAGGTGTTAGTGAACCACAGCAAGAGACTTCGGGAAGTCGCTGAAGATGATATTACTTTCATAGAGGAAGACTCAGATGGATTTTTGCTAGCGCACAACGATGCGTTGGTAATTTCTTTAAATCTCTTAGATTTTAAAATTAAACGTATTTTGGTGGACCAAGGAAGTTCGGCCAACATCATACAATGAGGGGTGTTGGAGCAAGCCAAACTCACCCGAAGCATCATTCTGGCTATAAATCTCCTCGTTGGGTTCAACCTAGCAAGTGTAACAACCCTATGAGAGATCCTGTTGCCCACAAATATCGAAGAGATGATGAAGACAACCCTTTTTGAGGTGGCAGATGTCGATATGGGTTACAACATCATCCTGGGGAGACCATGGTTACATGAGATGAAGGTTGTACTACCAACATATCATCCGTTCCTGAAATTCTCAACTCCGGAAGGGATTAAACAAATAAGAGGCGACCAACCGATATCGACAAAATTATGCTACCGGAAAATAAGGGGGACTATATGTATGGGGTAAAATATATTCATATTTAATAATCGCATGAGAAGGCGACACGTGGGGTCGAAGACAAAAGACAGTCGAACCCGAAGGTAATGATCTCGCTTGTCATCGGAGAGAATGATACTCATAAAGGCAAAATAAATGTCTGCCATTCGATAACATTCAATGAAAAATACTCTATAGCATTAAGTGTATGATCTGTCACAAAGAATATGGCATTCACTGCCAACCGTTACACATTCTTCAATGGCCATCATAATTGTCATTTAAGAGTGGCTTGATCCCAGGACCTTGTTCCCTAGGTGTAATTATAAATAGTGAGCTCTATTATCATTGTAAGGGACACGAATTTTCTGACTAGCATACACTATATCCTATTAAAAGCTTAATAACATTCTACTTGCTTACTTATTTATATTATTTTTACTGCCTCCGGTAGCTCCCCGCCCGGGACTAAGATATCTGCCGTTTATTTCAATTTCAAGGCTAAGTCTTAAGAAATGTAATTATTAGTTGTTCATACACTAACATTTGGTTCGGTTAACGTTATCGTTATGGCAGAAATTATAATGAAAATTATTTATATGGTGAATAATAATGTACGAATTTTTTTTATGGGGTAAATAATAAAACAAAAATTGTTATGCAAGAATTTTCTAATCTAAGGGTATATTTTTCTTAAATTTTTATTTAAATATTGCTAATACACAATTTTTAATATTCTATCTCATATAAAACAATACATAAATTCTAGTGTAAGTTATACCTCTACAATAGTATATCGTTATTTGTGAAACATATACGCACATTTAGCGCCCATTTGGTCATGAAATATTTTTCACTTTTTTTTGAAATCAGTGTTTGACGATAAAGTTTTTAATTTTCACTTGAAGATGAATTTTGAATTTTTTCGAAAATTTGAAAAGTTTCAAAAAACTGTTTTTCAAAATTTTCACTCAGATCACTCACAAAAAATAAAAAACAACCCAAAATTATATTCATATCCAAACACAATTCTAATTTTCAAATACTATTTTCACTTGAATTTTTTTAAATTTTTTTTTTCAAAATTTTACAATTCTTATGTCCAAACGCCCACTTAAAATAATGTGTTACTACAACATGTGTAATTTGGCTATTCCCCATTTATCTTTCCACTATATGCAAACGGCAGTAAGTAAAGATCGAAGTGGGCTAACGTTTTCTGTTAGAGCTCCCGTTCGAGCCGTGACGGCAATATTGACTCTAGTTAACGGCTTCCGTCACGCCTATAAATACGGGTTCTCTATCAGCACATCACTTGATATCTAGATCACAAGACTAGAATAGAAACTTGCATTGCTTTCTTCTTCCACTAGTGAAACCAACACACAAAACAAGATTCATCAGACAGTTTTTAAAATGGTTGCGTAAAGAAGAATATGCATCTTTGTTCTTTTTTTCACTGTTTCCTTTGAAAAATTCATCTGTTCACTCCATTTAAGAAGAGATACCCACATATAAAAACATTATTACTCAGCAGTCTTTTCCTTCTTTTATTGTCTATTAAGAATGGGAAAGAAAGAGCAGAATGTTTCGAAAGAGAAAGAAAGAGTTGAAGCTGTGCTAAACCTTCTCAGAAAGCAAGAACCTCTCACAGTTAAACAGGTTTTTATTTTCTTTTCCCCTCTCCATGTATATAGCTTTGTCTTAAATTCTTAATGCATAAACTTATTATATTTACGGTTCAAACTTCAAAAGTTGTTTAAACTTTTAATTTTATCTTCTTCTATTTTTGTTAATAAAGATATGTTGTATTTAATTATGAATATTTTGTTAGACTTTGAAGTAGAGAACTAGATGAAAAACAAGTAGTAGCTAGTAATTAAATATCCGTAGCTGAAAGTACAAATGCAATTTATCTTATGGTTGCAGGAGAAGTTCTGTAACTATGCATGTATAGAGAGGTTTCTGAAAGCCAAAGGCGACAATGTTAAGAAAGCTGCTAAGCAGCTGCGCAACTGTCTTTCCTGGAGAAACTCTTTAGCCATTGGTATATTTGTTTTTCTCTAATTTCTTTCAAATTTGTCCCTCCCTATTTATTCAAAAATAAAAGTAAAACCATTTGTTCTCGTTTGTCCGTGCCTTCTATTTTTATCTCTTTGTTCGTTCCAAAGAAAAAGAATCAGAATCTTTTGTTTCCGTTTAATTACTTTATTTTGAAACAGCTCATTAAAGTACTCATCAAAATCTAGTTACGATTAAAGTAAATTCATTCTTAAATTAGACCAGAAGCTTGATTTCACTTTAATTTGTCCTTTTAAAAGTTTTATTGGGTTGAGTTTTCAGATCATCTAATTGCCGATGAATTCTCGGCTGAGGTAGCACAAGGGGCAGCTTATGTTTCAGGACATGATGATGAATCAAGGCCTGTCCTGGTAATTTCAAATCTCTTCTTTTCTACTTAATATTTTTTAATTGATTTCTACATACGTAATTTCGTGTAATTCTTTTTTGGACCAACATATAGATTTTCCGAATCAAACAAGATTATCAGAAGTTTCACTCACAGAAACTGTAAGTACCTTAATTCTATTTATTAATTTTTTTTTCTCTGGGTTTTTAACTAAAATTTGAATTTATGTAAAATGTAGGTTTACTCGGTTGCTAGTGTTTACACTGGAGGTGGCAATTCAAACTATGGTAAAAGGGGTTGAACAATTTGTTATTCTATTTGATGCAAGTAAGTTCTTTTTATTTTTTTCAATGAAAAATTACCCTTATTTATGTCATCTAGAAATTTAAAAAGGAAGGGTAGAATGGTAGTTTAGTTTCACATTTACTTGTTTAGACAAATCAGAACTCAGCTTAAAGTAGTGAGTACTATACATTCTATTCTGAGGAGATTCCAAGAATTATCAGTCTGTAAATACCTCTCAAAGACAGCTTTTTCTAGTATAGTTAATACTCCTATTTCAGATCCTTTTAAGTTCCAATGTCACGCCTAGTCTCTTATGTAAAGAGCAATTAATTGACTAATCAAACAAAGGAGATGGTGATTGTGCCTAGTGCCTATTAGCTAGTTGTAATAATAGGCAAGCAACAATCTGAAATTCTTTCATGCTTTGCCTGGAGTGCCCTTGAGTTGTTGCTTTCAAACTTGTGAATGTAGGGGTACAACTTGTCATTCTCTTTTATCTAAAAAACAAAAAAGGAACTTCAAATACTCAATAAAGTCAAGCAAAATTACCCAGAATTATACTTTTTCTTACCTTGTCAGAACCTAACAAAGCCTGTAAGAAGTTTGAATTTTTCTCGTGAGTTTCCTTGGGTGATGATAATTTATTTTTGGGAGTTATGTTTTGACCAAATACTTCTACTATAACTGAGGGGTACCAAATTGCCAAATGCAGGCCTTTTCAGGTCAGCATCAACTTTTATGAACATACTGCTGCCTACACTGAAAATTATCAGCGATTATTATCCAGGCCGCCTTCACAAAGCTTTTGTCATTGATCCTCCTCCTCTTTTCTCTTATCTTTGGAAGGTACTATTTACTTTTATATTACGTCCACTTTATTTTGTCTGCATTTTAGGAATTTTGCACTCACCCACCACTTTCAACCAAGAGGTTGTGAGTTCGAGTCACCCCAAGAGTAAGGTGAAGAGTTTTTGAAGGGATGGAGCCGGGGGTCTATCGGAAACAGCCTCTCTACCCCAGGGTAGGGGTAAGGTCTGCGTACACACTATCTTCCCCATACCCCACTAGTGGAATTATACTGGGTTGTTGTTATTGTTGTTAGTTAACATTGATACTATTTTATAACCTTTATTATTAGGGTAATTATCTAAAATCTTTTTATTTATTCTTAAATATTTAACTTAATTAACATTTCTACTCAATGAAAAAACAAGGGTTAGCTAGGAAAAAAAAGTAGTAATAAATGCTTCTTGTTTTGCCGAGGGACTAGTATTTGATATTGAACAGAGTAATTTATTTCTAAGAGTCCGTTTGGCCAAGCTTCTGGGAGGCCAAAAATATTTATTGAATGATGTAAGAAAAAACAAGAGTTAGCTAGGAAAAAAAGTAGTAATAAATCTTTTTGAATGAGTTTGCAAAAAGCACTACTCAAATGAATTGGTCAAACACAAAGTGCTATTTTGCAAAAGTCCTTTTGAACAAAAGTATATCTGAAAATAAATAATTTTTGAGGCCAAAGAGGCTTTAAGTCAAATTAGTGAAAAGCACATCTATAGTATTGTAAGCAACTTTGACGCCAGCATAATTTCTTTACTTATTATAATAAGTAACTTGTCTTATATTCAAAATATATTAGAAATTTACATTTTAAAGAGGTTTATATACAAATATCATTTGTGTAACGTGATAGTGTAAAATATTATTTATATTATCCACATTTATAACTTAAAATCTTTACTTTGTGGTTGGTTTATCACAGGGAGTGAAATCATTTGTTGAGCTAGCACCACTTACAATGGTAGTATCATCACTTGACTTTGAGGAATCATTGGATTTCAATTACTTCACTTCGTATGATCCAAAATCAGCATCCCATACATTCAACTCTCCTTCATCAATGTCATCAACAGCCAAGATTGGGTCATGCTCCTCTTCAAGATTTGCCTTCACAGTTTCCAATAGCTTTGACTCCCTCAAACCATGGTCTCTTACTTTAACTGACACGTCATCTTCCAAATTAGGCCCCACTAATACCTTATTGGGCCCCGCCATCTCATTTCTCAATGCTCGATCCTACTCCTTTGCATCACCTGTTACTAGGACTCCACGTGGCAACATCGGAGCCGTTAAAAAAGGATTCTTCCCTTCCACACCTTTGCCAACAAAAAAACAAGATTTATTAGATCCAAGCTTCATCAACCATCCAAGGGCTATGAGGCCTTCATTTTTTCAATCACCAGCAATGTTCTTCAAGAAAGAGGGACACGTAAGCAAGACAGAAAAGTCTCGAGAGTCATTTGTACCGTTCTTGAAGTTTTATCGTAGACCGTACGATGAGATGACTTACAGGTCAAAGATGAGACCTCCATTAGGTGGCCTAATATCTATTGTCTCGCCACACATTCAACGCCATCATATTTCAGTCTCTCAGCGGTTTTGATACAACTTATACTACATAAAATATATTACTTAGATGTTTATTACCATTACATTACTGACTGTGAACTTTCCTCCCCAACTAATAATTGATCAATTATTTCTCAATTACCCCTAGTGTGTTCAATGGAATTTACAATTATTTCTGTTGCTTTGTCACACCAATATCTACAGTCATAGTAAATAGAATTTGTTATGTGTTTCATAGAGAAAAAATAAATAGACTACGTCATATGCGGGATGTGAAATATCGTGAAATGTCTCATTTTGTGTTATGTGATTTGTACTAGCTAATTACTACTACCTTTGGGCAATGCAAAAACAATACATGGGAACAAGATAACGTGCATGGTCGAGATGATGAACATCACATTAAAATCCATTTATGGGCGAATCATACTGTATAAGTTAAAATTCGCTCTAAAATATTTAGGGTAATGCAGCATTAAGGAAAGAATCAGTCGTGGTCGGCCAGGGAACAACAAGGTTCGTGGTAAAAATGGCAATAATGGCCGAGGTCGAGCATCATTGACAGAATAGCAACGACTGGTTTTTGAAATAGGATATTAAAGAGAATACTCTCTGCACTTGTACTACTAGGGTTTGTTAGATA